TAAAAAGAACAGCTGTACACATAATGAACAAATAGACAAACATGGACAGATGATCTGTACAGATTGGGACAGACAGAGAAACAAGCACTCAGCTTGTCAGTGTCCATGAGAGCTCTCTACGTTCCTGAGGGGCTTTATACACTTGTATCAGATCCCTTTGCTGAACTAGCTTGCTTCTTACAACCTGTGTTCATGGGACTAGAATACCTGCTTACCTCCAGCACCCCATGCCTCAGGGCATTTCTTAAGCACCTTCCCCTACCCCGCTGGCCACTCCTGTTTGGGTACTTGTGCTTTCAGCCCTGCACGTGTGAACAATCACTAGATCAGTGACTCCCAACAACAGCTTAACAGACTGGACGACAGACAAATTCACGGACAGACCAACAGACTCCTTAGAAGATCAGACTGCACTCAAATATATTTTTAGCCAAACTGAATTATAATAATTTTACAGTTGTGGAATTTGCAACTATAAATAGACTAGTCAGATTTGTTGTGGGTCAGTTAGGAGAGATCTCTTGTAAAAAGAATTTGGGAAGGACAAAATCTTATCTATAATTCACATATATTTTTATATTTTATCTTAAGAATACTGTAATTTTGTGTCTCTTTCTTTCATTAAGCTTTTAGTTTGGTTATCTCTATTTATTCTTATCACCCACTAGATATGAGGTTTTTGTTTTTGGTTACCAATCTCCTGGACAACCTGGGTCAACTCCTTTAACTGGCCCTAGCCAGTCAGGTCTAGCCTCATCCTTGTCTGTCAGTTGTGGTGTGGTCTCTGAAGCATCACTGTCGTAGGACTGAGCATCAGCTTCTCAAGAGGTGGAATCAACTCCTTCTTTGGGTTTGGGTCCATGATAGAGCTGGACAGCAGGCTCTGGCACTCAGATAGGCCATTTAGCATTTCCCAGAAAAATGTGAGCATACCCTTGACCCCAAATGAGCACTAGACTGGGTGCTTTCATTGTCCAGTATGAAGATCTCTCCAAAGGACTCTTTTTAGCCTTTTCTGATTGCATTGTCTTCCTGGTACAGTAGTTCCATCTTTAAGAGAATTTTAAAAGCTAATAGTATGTACTGCCCAGTGAAGTCTGTTATCAGATGAACTCACCCTTTTGTTTCTGTAATTTAAATTGTGAACATGCTTAACCATTTTTAGACTTGAGGATCACAAACAATTTCTGTTGTAAAAGCCTTAAGTACAGAAAGAAAAAAACACAAACAAAAACCCTGCATTTTGTATCTGGGCACCAGGCTCTTTCTTGCTGTTCATCATTCCCACCTGAGGCTGCTGCTCTCCTGTCACTGCCTTGAGGTTGTGGGCATGGCTGGCTGGTGTGCAGACAGGCCTCGGGGGAAATCCTGGGCCACTGCGGGATGCATGTGTGGTACCACAGTCACTGCCAGGACTGGGCATCCTGGTTGTGCTCCTGTTCTGGCCTGGAGTCCCTGCTGCTGTTAGGGGTCTGAGCGCAGGTAGTGCTGGCACCAGGTAAACTTTTGGTGCATCTGAAATGTGTGTGTAGGTGATGGGAAAACCCAGGTAAACAGGGTGCACCAGAGCTGTGTTCTACCTTCCAGGAGCCTTATCTTCCCTCCCCAGCCCTGGTCCAAGGGCTGCAGTGTCCCTGGCAGGCCTCAGTGGAGTTTACTCCACAGTATGTGGGAGGCAGGGCTGCAAACCCCAATTCCAGGGTGCAGGTCCTGCCTCACCACTCAGGCCATACTGGGCCACTGCAGGAAGTTCTTCATGCCTTACAATGTTTATATGCATTTTAAAAGGCAAAAATCCTGAAATGGCTCTAGATCCTGATGGCTAGAATTTAAATCTAGGGATGTCTCACCCACTGAAGGAAGTCTTCTCCATGCCCTAGTGCCTGCTTTTTTTAAAGTTGATCATAAATTTACAACTCAGAAGCATGTCAATTGCATGTGGCAGCAAAGGCACTCTTTGTATCCCTATAGGCTAACAATTAGCACTTTTACTAGGGTGAGAAACCTTACTACTCACACCCTGTAGATCTGAAGTTGCCACATCCAGAGGCCATGCCATGGGCCAGTGGCATTGGGCAATAACTCAAGCGTTTGTTTCTGTGTCTAAAAGCCCTTTAAATGCTTTTCTTTTTTTTAAATGCTTTTCTTTCAATTATCAATTTTATCTTGGGGCAATCCTGCTTAATCTGTTGAACACAGTAAGTATCAGAAGACCCAAAAGTCTTTGATTCCTTTGCTTTATTTATAGATTTTCCAATTTTTGCCAAGGGAAAAATAATCAATTAGGCAATGCAAGACTGGGGAGATTTGAACAGTGTTTTGAGTAGACTGAAGAGCCATACCTTGATTTCCCCATGCAGCTGAAACAAGCAATACTGTTTTTCCAGATCCCTTGTCTGGGCCAAGCTCCTGGCTCAGTGGAGCTCTTCGGTTCCCTCCCCTGCCTGGGGCCTGTGAGAAGTGGGGAGAGGAGCAGAAAGCAGCAGTTTCTCCCTGTTAAATAACCTTTTAAAAGTCTGTAGAGGTTCAGATAGATTTGTGCTGGTTTGTTTTCCTCTAGCCTTGCTCTAAACTGTTTTCCCACTTCCTCCCAAGTATGTCAATTTACAATTTTTTATTTGGAAACAAACTCAAGAAATTTAGCAAGCTGTGTAGTGTCAATGTACTGGAAACTAACATGTGATATAAGAAAACAAGACAAAACAAAAACCCTAAGTAAATGTAGTGTTATACTGATCGTGAATTTGAAGTAAGTACCCCTGAAGTAAAAAATGCTGAAAACTAACTGAGTTTGATAATTTACACTACCAAATATCAAGACTTGCTACAAAACCATGGTGAGGCAGTGATGTGCTGGAGCCAGCCCGTTACCGGCTCGTGAAAGCCAAATATTGAATTTTTAGAAGTTTTATAGGTTAGTTGTTGTTGTATTGATTATTTGAAATTGTCTTTTGTGAGTTATTTTGTAAATAAAAATCAACAAACCACAAATCAGGGCCACATTACCTGCTAATGACCAGGAACCTGCTGTGCGGAGCAGGGCCTGTGATAACTCAGACCCCGGAATAAAATCCAATGAAGCAAGAAATTAAAATTTAGGGAGCAAAGGCTTTATTTTAGGCCAGGCCTGGCAACACAGCCTCTGGTAGCCAATATGGAGGCTGCACCTCACAGCTAAAGAGCAGGGCTTTTATCTTGTAAAACCACAAACAGCTGCTGGTCTCACAATGCAAGGAAGGGGGCTGGGTTTGTGGTGCACTACAGAACAGGAACACGATGATTACATTGGGAAGAGCAAGGATCAGGTAAGGGTTGTGCTAACAAGCAAGTTTCCCTGCAAACAAGCAAGTTTAGATTAGGAAGAAATCCTGTTTTCCTCAGCAGAGAATAGAGAAGTCTAGCAGTGATTAACAACCCCTGTTAGCTTATTTTAGCACCACATCTGTTATTTGTAGGGGGCAACAATGGTTAACATATCAATTAGGTAATATTTTACAATTCTTTACAGAAGAGAGCATTGATTAACATATCAATTAGGTCACCCAGACGGAGAAGGAAAACACATATACAGTAAGGCCAGGTTACAGGTATTTTGCTATAATACACATATAAGGAAGCTATTTTTCCTAGAGTACAACAGGCCCGGCGTCTCAGGGGAGCTGTCCAAGCCATAGCATCCCTAATCTTTGGCAGGGCTCTTGCAGACCCTGCTGCAAGTTTTTCTGGAACAGGTAGGCCTTCCACATCAGTTTTGAGTTTACATCGAGTAGCCCAGTGCCATTCTCTGCACTTTGGACAGGTAGTCGAAGGTTTTGTTGAAGGCATAGATAGTGGCTTGTTGCCCCTACAGGTACAGCAGAGCAACTTTTAGTAAAATGCACCTCATCCCTACAATGAAAAACAGATAGCCTTGTTCTTTCCCTTTCCTTTAGGCTGTGGGATGATGACCTGAGTGATTATAATTCATTCCAGATTATTGGGGATTTGAAGTTTAGTAACAGAGTCGATATGTTGAAAACCCTCTTCTTTTAATGCCACTTCAAGGGAGACAGAGAAAATGGCTCTATTCCCTAGAGATGTACGTTCCAAATTGTGATGCAGTAAAATTTCTCTGAGCCAATTTTTTTTGTGGCTGTCTCAACAAGCTTATAATCATTAAGATACTTCCTAATCAAAATCCATGAAAGAAAAGTAAATACTGGAATCCATCATTCAGCAGACATTTTTATATATATCTATGCACATCTGTACGTCTTGATAACTTGCTTTCTCCATGTCTAACAACTGGTAAAATCAACACATTTGTTTTTCTTTCTCATAAGTCCATTGTTTCTTTGAATTCTCATAAGCCTGTTATCTCTTTGGCTTCTGTCAAGCCTATTTCTCTGTCTTTGGTTCTTTTTTTCTTTTTCTATTTCTAGCCCTGGTGGACTTGTTTTTGTACCCCAAGCTTTACACTCGATGATATCAGTATCGATTCATTCTCAGGATGAATTCTGACCACTACCTGTTCACTGCTCCTCCCTGTTGCATGAGTATGAGAAGTGTTACCTCACACTGCCTCTCGCCCTGTTGCTGGTCAGGTGCCATTTGCCAATGACCTGCGTGGCTCTTGAGGTCCTTAAGGTGAAGGAATAGGAGAGGATGAGAAAATAAGAGGCAAAGCTGAGGTCAGCTGGGGCCCTTACTTTTCGGATGAGAGGAAAGAAACTGCCCTCACTGCATGGACATTTATTTATACACAGCAACTTGATGTCAAATGACACCCCATTCTCTAGTAATCTGCAATATGGGAACCTAAGGGCCTGATTTTGGGGTTCTGGAATCATTTGTTTCTGGTGGTTGCCCCAGGCAGTCTTTGTTCTCAGACCCAGATGGCTGACTCTGGCAGGTGTGGTCAATTTCCAGCTTTAGCTCTCCCTACAAGTTCCCTTCCCTGTGAGCCCTGGGTGACACTCAGGTCACACTTCCTCAGCCCCTCTGTGTGATTCTTCTTTCAGGCTCATTTACGTCGCAGGCCGGGAAGGGCACATGCTTAAAGTGCTCTCTTACGTCAGCGTCAGGCGGCTCACGCCCGCCCCTGCCATCATCTTCTATGTAAGTAGGAACGGCAACAAGTCCTCTCTTGCTAATTCTCCTCTCAGTGGTTTTCATGGCGTTACTGGGTGTTGTGACCAGCAGTCCTGTCCAGGCTCTTATTATCCTCTTCAAAGAACTGGCAGGGACAAAGAACGTAAATGTTTAACATTCATTACAGGTACTGAAGATAGGAAAAGAAGAGAAGAAGAAAAGAGAAATGTGCTTTACAGAGCCAGTCTGGGCCAGGTGAAGGCTCACATAGTAAAGAGATTAATGGCCGCCATCTTTCCCACCCATTGCTTACCTTAGGGCCACCCCACACAGGGCTCTGTGAATGCTGTGTATGACTCACAGGTCTCTTGACTGACAGGTCACTTCCAACTGTCCTTTCACCTTGCCATGGCTTCGTCTTCTACCTTAGATGGAACCAGGTTCCCTTATTCCTTGATGTGAAATATAAAAAGAATTCCCAAGACTATTGAATTTGTCCTCCTTTTGTTCCTTTATCTGACTTTACCCACAACAGATACCATTGATATCTCCCAAGGTGGTATCACTCTATATCTTTTTTCTTTTAGTTTTTATGGAAAAAAGATAAAATTTCATAACAAAATAATAGGAAAACAACTATGGTTAATATATTACATATTGTCTTTAAAGTACTTGCCAGGGTACAAGATATGGATACAAAAATGTCTCCAATTGTTTTTAGCACGAATTATCATTTCATGAGCAGACACTAATAGTATAACTGACTTGCATTTTTCCCCTTTTTTCTACTGTGCTTTCCCCTTTCACCCACCCTAGCACCCTACTTCCTTCATGTATGTTTATTTGTTTGTTCTGAGCCACAGGAAATAAGCTACGCACAGTGTATGGCAAAGGACAACAGAGCACTTTACAGGGCGTTGCTGGCAGCAGTGTCTCATTACAGTCTAATAACTTGCGTGTCCTGAGATCGTCAGCATCTCTAAGGGGAGGCTCTCAGGGGTAAATACCCTTGGTCATGTGCAGCTAGCTGTTCTGGGCACACAGACACCTTCCACATTCCTAGCTTGGGCTGGTCCACTGCCCCCTATCTCCAGAGGACAAGAGGGCTTTCCTCCACCCACACACTCTGAAGATAGGGAACCTTACCCAGAAAGCAGGGACATAAGTAAAGACCAGATGTCTAATGAAGTCAAGATCAGATGTGGGTTTTACAGTCTAGGGCTCTTGCCCATAATGAAGACTCTGGAATTTAAATCCATCAGCATGAAGCTGGTACCATACATACATACAGATTTTGGTTAATATTTTCCTTGCTTAAAATCACAATTTCAAAGACTCAAAAGTTATTTAGGATCGTCCCACCAGCTTTGGGAGAGAACAGCAATCACAGCCAAAATCACATTCAACCCTAACTGCAATAGGATACAGGGAAGTTTCTTACATGCTGCTTTGATTATCCATAGGAAAGCCTGCTTCTTCAGATTTCTATAAGACAAGAAGAAGAATACTTTTATGCACTAATGACATGAGAATTTGTTCTTCTTTCTATTAGGGTATAATAACAACGATTTATATCATCCCTGGTGACATAAACAGTTTGGTGAATTATTTCAGTTTTGCTTCATGGTTATTTTATGGGATGACCATTGTAGGACTTGTTGTGATGAGGTTTACGAAGAAAAACCGGGAAAGGCCTATCAAGGTAAGTTTCATGCCCAAATTTCACGAGCAGCTCAGGTGACTAGACTGAAGACAAGCTTGCTCCTTCCTACCTGACTCTACTCTGTTTTTGAGTGTCATCTTTTACATAAGAATTTATTATGCATTTTATACTATAGGTTATGAACTAGTTAACCACCTAGTCATTCAATTTACTAAGCCATCACTTCAAAAAGCTACCAAGAACATCTATGACACTTTCCATGAACTGAGGGAGTCTTCTCAATTCTGGCCCTGTCTAGGTTCACAACCTGCTTCAGACTGCTTCCCGTTCCCTAAATGGCTGATGGGATCTCTATCCCAATGAAGATGGAGCAGAATTTATTTTGTTTTGCTTATATTGGGGACTGAAAAAGCCCAAACTATTGTGCTATTTAGTTCTTAGGGCAACAGAGCACAAATATAAGAAACAATTAGGCAAATGATTAGGAAAAGAATAAAGATACTGTCTTTAATTTTAGGATATTCAGAGCCTTTGCACTTGAGCTACATCCTCAGTCATCATCATTATAGTGATTGTGATTATGATTATTATACAGGATCTCACTAAGTTGTAAATTGCCCAGATTGGTCTTAAGCTTGTAGTCCTCCTGCATCAGCCTCTCAGAGTGCTGGAATTTCAGGTGTATACAGCAGGCCTGGCTTACCTTTAGTTTTTGTGTCAGAAATCTAAAAGTCTATGTTGCACTGTCTGAATCTTGATCACATCCCTGGAGTCAGCTGAGACACGGGACCAGATTGCCCAGAGTCAGGTAGTGTCCTGTCTAACTCAGCTCACCTACCAGGAAAGACATGGGTGTCAGCTGTATAGGTTTTCAATTTGCACAAAATCTACCATAAAATCAACTAGAATCACCAAGAGCCAAGGGAAAACCCCACAGCCAACATCTTCAACACAAAAGAAAGAAATGCTGTGCTGCCACAAAGCCCACAATCTGCATGGAAGCACCACAGGCCCCAGTGGGGGGCGCACTGGGCGGGTTCCCAGAAGACCCGAGGCCTGGAAGTGGGAAGCAGGCAGCAGGGCTGCCTCAGTCCCCAGGTGTCCCGGAAGTTCCCTGCAAACGCTCCTGGCCAGGATGCAAACACTTCCAGAGCCACTACAAACAGTGCTGGGTACAGAAACCAAACCAAACATGGAAGCACACTGGGACCCAGGAAACGGAGCTGGGGACACACATCTCCCGTAGGGAGGGGGGAGCACAGAGAGGCTGCGCCACGTTCAAAACAGTTTAGGAAACAGAACTGTTCCCACAACTGTAAGCAAAAAGGAACACAAGAGCAAGGAAGCGTTCCAGGAAAGAGGACTGGAATGGGAAATGAAAACACGTGGAAGTGAAGTGAAGGGATTCGAGGGGAAATAAGTAGAGGAAACAGAAAAAGGAGGCTGTAGTACCTGCACAGTGAGTCCGTGAAGAAGAGGAGAGTGACATCAGTTCTCGAGAATTCCACAAATTACAGATCAAGAGTATTTCCTGAGGGAGAAGGAATGAGTGGAGGGAGGGCTCCACCCTCCACGGACACAGTGAGAGGCCCACAGTGCACCTGGCAGACAGGCCAGGAAGTGCAGGCTGACAGAATGACTCGGTGTGCAAACCTCCTTGGGCACCCACTCCCCCTTTCCTGTTCCACCGCCATTCCCAGTTCACTTACAGAGAAGAAGAAGAGGAAGAATACTAGCATCAGTCCTTTTGTTACCAATATTTCACGCCAAGGAAACTGAAGACAACGGAGCAATAAGTATAAGTCAGATACTCAAAAGAAACACAATGTAAGCCAATGATTTCATATCCAGCCAAAGTGACCTTGAACAATACACTTACTGGGATGAAAGGAATCAGTTACATATTATTATATGTGCATTTTCTGGGAATCAAGTGAAGAAAGAGCTTCAAAAACCATTAAATAGGGCTGGGGATGTAGCTCAGTGATGCAAGCGCCTGCCTGGTGAGCACGAGGTTGTGAATTCCATTCCAGGTATCAAACAAACAAACCACAACACTGAAAACACTCAAAAAGAAACCATGAAATCATTGGCATAAGGTGAGTCTATTTAACTACAGATCTAAAAGTAAATGATGGCAACAGAATGATATGTCAATAGCATTCAAGAAAAATGGAAAAAGAATGATGCAAAAAGTATGTGCCAATTTAGGAAAAAAATGCCAAAAAAACTCCCAATTAAAGGTACCAAACTAGGCATGGTGGTCCATGCCTGTGAGCCTAGCACTCCGGAAGTCAGAGACAGGAGGATTTCAATTTGGACCCAAGACTCAGTAATCTAATAAGACTGTCTCAAAATGTAAAAGGCTGAAGATGTAGCTCAGTGTGAAGACCCTAGGTTCACACACAACAGTGTATTCTTTATTATAATATTTATTAGCGTAAGTCATTCATATATATTTACTGTGTATTAGTTACATTTGAGGATACTCTTTGGGAATTTGTGGTTTCAAATAATGCGTGATATTTTTCCCATTTGAAATAAGAGAAATAAGAGTGTTCCTAGGAGTGTTTTCCCACAGAATGTCACACTTCGAGGTGCAAGAATAATAGTAAGACACTTATGTGTAGAAATCTAACAGAAAACAACAGGAGAGAATGGAGATAAAACTTATCTACAGTATGAACAAATCAATGTATTAGGCTTAAATCAGTCATTACGAGATAAAGGTTTTCCAGGCAGATCTACAAAGCTTGGGAATTAAAAATAAAGGACACACAAAGAATTATCAGGTCAGTGAAAACATGGAAAGCGGGACCAGATCGGGACCCAAGCCCAAAGTACAGCTTACAAAGACAAAGACAACTAGGGTGAAAGCTAAAATTCACACTGAAGAGAGAAGTTCTAAAACCTCTTCTTCGTACTACACAGCAAATTTATTCACAAAGCAGAAACTACAGGACACGTGAGGAAAACACACACTGACCACAGGTGCCTGGAAAATGCTCCTTCAACACCTCCTTGTAAAAGTGGCTGAAGCACCAGGGATGATCACAAAGCAGATCTCAGAGTTTATGTCACAGCCTCCCTGCCACCAGCAGACGCCTCAGGTGTACCCCGGACCTGGCTGAAGACTGATGATCTTTCATGGCAAAAAGAAAACCCTGGTACTTCACAAACACTGTAAACCACACAACTTACCTTCTCTGCGGTGGAACAAAACAGAGACCACTAGAAAAAGTATGCTTTTAAGCCAAAGTACAAATAGGAAGTGAAAATATACAAATTCCTAAAAATGAATAAAAAGATGACATATACTCCAAGAATGTAAGCTTCGACATTTCACTTGAGGTTTATATTAGTGAAAATGAAAGAAATAGAAAACAGGTAATGAAAAAGCAAGAGAAAGAACAACAACATTTAAAAGGATTGAGTGAACTTTAAAAGAGCTCAGGGTGTTAGAAAGGAGGAAAACAGCGATGAATGAGGAATGGCAGCAGCCAGACTGGCATTTTGAAAGTTTTCCTTTTTAAATGCTCTAGAAAAGGCTTCAAGGCCACATAATGGGGAGTCATGATTACCTCCTACCTTTATATATTTCAATCATTACTTACATTAGGGAAACTATTCGGTATTCACACATGCGAGATTGATTTATTTCACTTATGAGTATGGTCTCAAGCTGTACCCATTTATTGATAAATATCTCAATGTGATCCTCTTTATAGCTGAGTAATACTCCATTGTATAGAAATACCACAACTTTTTTATCCATTCCTCAGTTGATGGACACTTAGGTTGTGGGGCTTTATTCTGGGCTGCTTGATATTATTGCCTGTGATGAAATGAACAGCTATTTTGAAGAAAATAAATTATCATAATAGCCAGTGCTGATTTACTATCATCTTGTTTTGAAGCCCCACCAAACTGTGGCTCTTCTGTCTCCATTGGTTTTATCATGATGTATCTTGCTGGATTTTATTATATGTGATAGTATAAACAAAAATTGTTATAGGCAAAGAGATAATATAGAAACCATTGTTCGTTTTCTGTTAGCTGGTTCTAAATACCCTACAATGCTTTCATCCACTTGAATGGTTTTATACTGACTTGATATATTTGAAGCTATAGTATATGAAGTTATATTCAAATATTTCAAGGAAAAAGACACTATGGTAACTACTGTTAAGTCGGGTTATTTGGTGGTGAAGCACTAGGTTGCTGAAACTGTCATGCTTTGACCTGTATTGTTATGTTGTTATATCCTCTTTTATCTCAATCTCTCCCTTATTCATTAAAAAATTATTTAGTTATTTTTTATGACTTTTTTAATTAAGGGGAAAAATAAGAAAAATTAGCAGGATATATTATAGTAACTTTTTTGATTTCCTATTAACTTGATTTGAAGTCCTGTAATACTCCCACTATCTTGTTTTGACTAATTAGACTCTTCCATTCTGTATGATAGTATCAAGTTTGAGGGTATAGGCAACTACTTTGAAGGCAATAAGATTCACTATGATGCCCATTCTGGTTTGACTATTATCTTCTTTGGAAATCCTGTAATGTTTACAAGGTTTAGGTTTTATTGGTCTTGTTCTCTACTGTTTTGTTCAACTTTATAATACCTAATGAGATAGACAATTCTTTTTAAGGAAGCAAGAGGCATTATGGTAACCATTGTTAATAACCTTGTACTCTATTTTTACATCATGTGCTATGTCTATCCTTGGTTTTGACTGACAGCTTTGTTTTGCCATATTTGACTTTATTCTCTTCCAAAAAAAAAAGTAATAAGAACTAAGGAGTAATAAAACCCAAAATGTGTAAATTGTGTTATAAAAAAGAGAGGGAAAAAAAGGATCTAAAGGATATAACTGCAAGTGTGTTTAGGGGTGTTAAATAGCTGACCATATTAATGTTTTTGGTTGGATCATTGAACACAACTGTTTGCAGTCTCACTGTTTGAGTGTCCACTTTGTATGCTTTGATACTGTGACTTGAGCAACTATCTCTAAGATGATAATGTGTAATCTGTTAACTGGTGATTTCTTACTGGTTTTTTTTTTTTTTTTTTTTTGGTAGTTCTGTATTACTTGTACCCTTACACTGCTTTGTTTTGTTTTGTTTTTCTCTTTTTCCTTTTAAATAAATTTTTTTTAAAATGCTCTAGAAAAAATACTGAGATTATGTGAACTTTAAAATTTCCTATGATTCTAATCCTTTGGAGGGCCATCTTAGCAAATTTTCTTTTCCCAGGAAACTGATATTTTATCTAGATGTTCAAAGTTATTTGTATAGAGTCATCCATAATAGTCTTAGGATCTATTTTTCAAAAAGCTTCCTGTGACTGGAGTTTGTATCTCTAGTTTTTGGGTTTTTCTTTCCATTAAAAATATTTGTGTTTCAATTTTTTTGTAAAGGACAGGTGTGATGGTTCTTGCCTATAATTCCAGCACTCAGGAGGCTCAGGAAGGAGGATTGAAGCCAGTCTGTGGCTTGAATTCACTATAAAGTGAATTCAAGGCCAGCTTGAACTGCATCATGTCTCAAAAAGACAAAAAAAAAAAAAAAAGGTTATTTGTACAGAAAATAACATGAATACCAAGCCTTATGAAGATCACATATGAGAATACATTGACCAATCTCATTTATGAATAATAATATTCATAACAGGTATCCAAGTAATATATCTCAAGTTCAGTCTACGCAAGAGTGACTGAAGATCATAGGGTCTAATTTATGGATGGATATAATTCACCCTACTGACATATCTTTGCGGAAAACTCCTGGCATCATAATAGATGAAAAATAAAATTCGATGCACATCAGCAATAAGGAAATAAACAGGAATTTATTGTGGCCTTAATATATGCTCCCCATACACGGCAGAAACTGTTTTATTTCATAAGTATGAGGTCCTTGCTAAGGTCAGGAATAAGAACGACTTCTATTTCTATTATTTAACATTGTTCTAAGGATATTAGCAAGACAATGAGAAGGAAATTGATCTCTAAACTGGTTCTGATGGAGCACACCTGTAATCCCAGCAGCCTGCGAGCCAGAGGAAGGATGATGGTGAATTAGAACCCAGCCTGGGGAATAGACCCTGTCTAGAAAAACAATATGCATGGATGCAATTACCAAGCGTCATGCCTCTCTCTGTCTCTGTCTCTGTCTCTGTCTCTGTCTCTGTCTCTGTTTCTCTGTACTGATCTACAGGAAGGTCTGGAGTCAGTCAAATGATGCCCTGAGGAAGTGATCACATAGAGCTAGAACCAGAAACTGTATGGGACAAACCATCCCATTTCTCCAACAAATAAGAAAATATTGATCAGTTTCTTCACCAATGACACACAATATCTGACCCCTGTAACTTAGTGGGGAAGTTTATTTCAGCTGACATTTGTTAATTAGCTGGCTCCAAGGCAGGATGGCATGGCAGAGGGGCACAGTGGAGGAAAGGAAGCAGAGAGATGGTCCAGGGAGGAGGAAGGAGGGAGTTAAACACTGCCCAGTCTCACCCACAAAGACCCCCTCTCCAGGCAGGCCTGCACTCCTAACAGCAGGCAAGTCATTGTATCCCCATAATCCCACCACCTTTCAAAGGTCCTGCCTATGATTCCATGGGGATTTAGGGGGACACCTAGAAGCTGGAACAAGTGATAATATTAAAAAAAAGAAGGGAAGGAATAAACTTGTTTAAAGAAAGAAGTTTTCACTACTTACAGAGACATATTTGCTAATGGTTAAAATACCCTGATGTCTGGTGTAGTTTTATATTCTTGGAAAAAATAAAACAAAGGTAGAGTAGATGAAGTGATTGTCAAAATTACATTAAAATTCTTAATCTGGGTGTGTTGGCATAGCCTATAAAAATCTGGGCCACATAGTGATTTCAAGGCCAGCTTGAGCTCCATCTGAGACCTGGTATCAAAAAACAAAACAATTAAAAAAATAGAGAAAGAGAGAGAGAGATAGACCAGAGTAGAGTAAGAGTACCTGGATTTAATTAGGCTGTCTTTTATGTATCTGTTATTTTTAAAGAAAAAAAATTAAAGGAAATAAAACCACCACCAAGGGCTAAAGCATGACCCCTGTTGGCTGTCTCTTGCAGGTGCCCATTTTCATCCCCATCTTGGTGACTCTCATATCCGTGTTTTTGGTTCTGGCCCCGATCATCAGTAATCCCGCCTGGGAGTACCTCTACTGTGTGCTGTTCATCCTGAGCGGCCTTATATTCTACTTCCTTTTCGTCTACTGCAAGTTTGGATGGGCTCAGAAAATCTCCAGTAAGTATCAGCAGGAGGCTGCTTGAGGTTAGTGAAGGGCAGACAGAAATAACCATCCATCCATCCAACCTTCCATTGTGTATATAATCGTGTATATAAAACTTAGGTACACAAGAGCAAAGCCCAACCAGAAGGCAGGGAAGTGGAGCTGGGACTCAAGCACAGCCCAGAGTGGGTGAGCTTGCCTTTCTTCAGAGCCTTTCTCTGCCAGTCTCCTCAGCTGGAGAATCAGGGACCATCACTTACCTGACAGAGGAGAAAGAAAGAATGCACTTCCTGTTTGTTAGCAGACTGAGAACAAAGCAAAACATGGCTATGCCATTTCCATCAGGGACTTTTTCCTTTCTTGCATAATTCTTTTTACCCCCAACCTCTTTATGCAGATCTCAACCTAAGCTGATAAGCTGCAAGTACACACCTAGAGAAAGGGAAGAAAATTAGTAAAACATCCATTTTCTTGTCATGCTTTGGAAATGTACTTGGATTTGATTACATTGACAGAGAACCTAAGCAAGATGACTTGGAACCTAATGGTACAAAATAGTTTACTTCTCAGCTCTGGCATATTTAACCAAGCTCTTCCCTCCAAAAACTGAAAAGCAGTTGGATAAAGGTGTTACAAAAACTAAACAACTTATATTTTAAAATGAATCTGTCTTAGTTACTTTAGACTTGTTACCACTTGGTCAGTTGTAGTAAATATCTCCATATAAATGAGTCAGTCATATTTCGCCTGTTGGAGTAAATTGTTGCAGGCAGCCACAAACTATGTAGAGACAAAATACTTAGCAGGTTCCAACCTCCTTAATAGGAAGCAACTGATTTCCAAAGAACTAGTGCCTCTAGGGGGGTAGTTCTGACTCACTGTAAACCTCAGTTGTCTGGAGTGCAGGATCTAGGAAGGATGTATTACCACAGGGTAAGAATAATATCACCAGCAAGCACAGTGAGGCCTTTCATTTCAATCAAATTGATTGATTGATTGATTGATTGACTGACTGATTGATATTTTTGAGACAGGGTCTTGTTATGTGGTTCAGACTGGTCTTAAACCCACTATGTAGTCCAATCTGGTCTTGATTTCACAGCAATCACCCTTCCCCAGGTTCCCCGATGCTGGGATTACAGGCATGCACCACCAAGCCCAGCTGTGAGGCCTTTTAGCTATATTTTTCTAATTGTACTCACTGGACCTTCCTGACTTGTGTTCCAGAGCCAGTTACCATGTACCTACAGATGCTGATGGAAGTTGTCCCACCAGAGAAGGTCCCAGAGTAACAAGCACCTCTCTTTAGCTCATTCAAAGCTGTGATGAATTTGTTTTTATAAGCACTATTTGTGATTATTTCTTCCTCTTTTTTGTGAAAAACTTTTCAGATGTTTATGGAAATTGTTTTTCTTCGATGGCTATAAATTTATGCATGGGGCTTTAGATATGAAAAGTGATATGTGTTTGCTAAAGTCATCAATAGAAAAGTCACTTAACAGCAAGTCGGTGGCAGTGTTGCACAAAACCCACTGGCATTTTGATGGCCACTGTCTAATAATGAGGTATAACATTTATTTAAAAACAGGACATAAATGGGGTATGACTGATGGGTGCAGGGCTTATTGAATTGTGCAGAATTAAATCCCAAGCAGTGAAAATTAGTCAGTTTCTTAAGTTTAAAAAAAGTATTCCTTAAACTCAGTGATCTGTATGTCTATTGTTTTACATAAAGTAAGTGACAATTTTTTCTTTGATATTGTCTTAGTTCATTTTCTCATTACTGAGACAAAATACCTGACATCCAGAGTTAAAGGAGGAAAGGTGTCTTTGGTTCACAGTTTGTAGAAGTTTCAATCCATAATTGGCTGGTTCTGAGGCTGGGGGCATGGCAGAAGGCATCACAGGGCACACAGGAGACAGACACAACAACAAGCAAAAGCAACAGCCCTATTTCTGTCCCTGATATTCTAGCATGGCTATCTGCCCTTGGGGTGCATAGCAGTCACAACCAGGGTGGGGTGTCCTTAATCACCAACCCTAGATCCAATCATCTCTGAGAAGCCTGATCTATTACTGTATGAGACATTGGGGAACATCTAGATACAAGCCATAACACTACACACCCTGGCCTCTAGAAGACACATGCCTTTATGCATAAGGCATTTAGTTCATGTCTAAGAGTTTCCAAAGTCCTAAAGTCCAAGTTTAAAGTCTCCCCTGATATTTAGGGCAAACTCTTAGCTACAAGCCCCTATACAAATGAAAAGAAAGTTAAACACTTCCAGCATACAATGGCACAAGATAAACATTCCCATTACAAATAAGGGGACAGAAGGGAAAGGGAGCAAGGGATGTACAAAATCCAGTAGGGCAAACACTAAGTTCCACAGTCTCATGTCCGGCATCTGGGGTAATCTGAGGCAAGATGTGAGCTCCTAAGCACTTGGGTGGCTCCAGCCCTATACCATTATCAGTGGTTTTACCTCACATGGCTTCTCTCTTGGGCCAACTTTGCTCAGTCCTTGCACTTTTCCTCAGATTATCCATATTCCCGACTTATCCAACATTCTTGGGTCTCTACTGTGTCTTCAGCTTCACACTCACACCTTCACACACTGCCTGGCCTCCCAGGTCTTCCAAAATCAAGTGGATGCCTTCCTGATCCCACAACTCTTTCACTCTGCATACACCTAAAATCAGCACCACATGGTTGATGCCAAGATCTGATGCCACCTGGAGCAGTAATGAGGCTTCTTCTCCTCTGTCTGTTAGGAGTCAAGTGGCTGGATTGCTGAGCGGTATAAACCATATCTGGAGGAACAAATTCTCTAGGCTGCCGACATTCCAGAATATGGTGCTGTGGGGTTCTCTTCTTAAAGAAATGTCTTTGTCCTTTGTGAATTTGATGCTGCAAATGCTGAAGTCCTGTTGGTTTTTATGATGTTCTCAGACCATCTTTTCCATATCTCAGCAATCAAGTTCTCATGGACTGTGTCTTTGCAATCTGCTTTATTGGAGCTTCCTTTCTGGCCAAACTCAAAACACTTTAAATCTTTCTGCTGGGCTCTTTGCTCTTGATTCTCAACAAAGATCTGACTAAAATCCCCCAAACAGGGGTCATGCCACCATCTCAACATTAGACTGCCTTGAAATTACTTCTGCCTGATTTATTAGCCCACTGACCTTAATCTTAGTTTTAGGTAAAGTCTCTGGACAAGATGAAATGAAGATGGATTTTCTACCAAAACATAACACGCATAATTTGGAGTCCAAATCCCAAAGGTTTTCTACATTCCTAACTGAAACCTTCTGAGTCTTTATACAAGCATTTTACCAGCATTCTGGTCTTCTGAATTCTGACCTGCATCCTCCATTAAGGACAGATTAAAGCATTCCAAATGTGGCTCTACAGCCAGAATTTCAAAATCTTTGCAAACTCTTCCTGTAAGCCTATTCCAATGGTTTCTGAGTCACATGGCCAGGTACAACCATTTTTCTGATACCAAAATCTGTCTTATTTATTTTTCTCATTGCTGAAACAAAATACCCAATGGCCAGAGTTACAGGATGAAAGGTTTATTTTGCATCATAAATTCAAGAAGTTTCAGTCCATAATTCACTGGCCCTGAGGCTGGATGGCATGGTAGAGGAGCATCACAGAGCAGGCAGGAGGCAGCAGATGACAAGCAGTACTAACAGAAGCAGCAGCAGCAGCCCGCTTCTGTCCCTCATATTCCATTCAGGCCACCCACCCTTAGAGAGGACCACCCGTCATCCCAGCATCACATCCTTAATTCCAGCACCCCACACTCTTTAGATTCAGCCACCTCTGAAAAGCCCCATTTATGATCACATGCGGTTTTGGGGGGAACATCTAGACATAATGCAAGCTGGGTATGATGCCGCATGCCTGTGAATCCAGTATTCAAGAGGCTGAGGAAGGAGAATTGTTGCAAGTTCGAGCTCAGCCTGGGCTACCAAGTGAGCTCAAGGGCAGCATGGCAAGACCCTGTCTCACAAAGACAAAAATTAAAAAATAAAAAGTAAAAAAAAATAGGCACAATGCAAAAGAGATACAGATTAGTGGCAAGTATTTAAAGAAATTTTAGAAGTACATTTTATTCTCACTCCTCCACACCTCAAAGTGTTGCTGCCTCTGTATGTAGCATGAGATGTACATGGTGGGTCTGTGCCAGGCTGTATAACAAGACCCTCACTGTGAAGCTGGACATGCCTCAAGAACCACTGGAAGCGTGTGTGACAAGGGTCAGCTTCATTGAGGGCCACACCACCTGCTCCCAACAGCCTTCTCTGGCATTTTGGTCCTCAGAAAGCACAGTGAGTAAAATTTTTCCATGCATTCAATGCTTGGGGAAAAAGTTGTTTACAAAATGTAAACAGTAACACTGCAACTGTATTACAGACTTGCTGCAAAAATCCTTCACATCATAGCAAAGTGAATGAGCCATTTTAGAAGCATAGCCACTGAAGTACATTTATCTTGCATTTCAGAAATTTACCCAGACATGCAACCCACATGGTTTAACAGTAGTATGGAAAACAAATTCTTATTTACATAATCAATATTCTACATCCTACAAAATAGAGTTTTAAATATTATAATAACTGAGTGTCTGAAAAAGGAGTTGAGGGTTAAATCCCCTGCCTTTCTGCTCCAGTACCCGTCAGTGGGCCACAAAGTCAGCATTGTGTCTTTTGTGAGGTAGTTAATGCCGCCATCAGCACTGGGAGCAGGCAGGAGCACTCCAGGACCTGCCACTGCCATTCCTTAGGGACTCAGGACAGGAAGCCATGTTAGTAGCCCAGGCTCCTCCTTCAGGGTGACCACTGAGAAAGAATCTTTCCAGCAAACACCAGAGCTCTCTGCTTTCTCTGAAGTTGCCCAACTTCACAAGCCACAGTGACATTGCCAAACTGTCAGAGTCACAGAGGAGCAAGGACTCACTCCTGGCAGCTGACCAGACTGGGCCATACCCTTCGCCTGGAGGGCAGGGGTCTGACATCTGTCAAGTTCCCTCACACATGCAGGTGAGGTCCCTGCCCAGCACCACTCTGGGCACTGCCTATGGAGAAGAGAGGCTGTGCATGAGCTCACCATCTTATTTCACAAATGAAGAAACAGAGCTGGAGCAGGACCCAGCCCTGATCATGGGACAGGGTCATGTGTTTACCTCAGTTCAAGCAGGGCTCTCACCTGGGAGGTACAGGAGCCTGAGCACCCACACTTTGTGATGTGACAAAAAGAAGAGAGGGCTTGGGGTGGCTGACCACCCATCATGTCCTGTCAGTGTTCCATTGCACTTCTGGGGAAGCTGACTAACTGACACACATGGGCTGGTTTATGAGGGGTGAGATAGGTGGAAGTTGAGACCAGAGGTGCTGTAGCCCTGTACTACATCCTTAGCCTTTTTTTTTATTTTAAAGGGAGGGGGGAAAACCCAAGCAAAATAAAGCAGAATAAAATCAATCAAATAAACCAGAGTAAGTGATACCGGACTTCCAAACCTTTTGAAATTAACAATAGCTACAACCGTGTCTTTGTTGTGTTCAAAATAGCTGCAGATACCAACTTCAGACACATTAAAAATTGAACAGAACTGGATAGAATAGAAACTATAAAAACAAAACAATGAATTCAATAAAGAACCTCAAAACAAGCCAGTATTAAATGCATTATTGCTTCCTTAACATGTCTTGCTGTCTTTCAGAGAGCTGCTCATGTCATCAGAGTTAGTACAAACAAAACAAAAGAGAATAAACCCCAACACAAAAGAAAAAACAATGAAATGATACGGTTTCCGTGGGAGCGGGTGTTTGCTCCCTGGAGGTCATGATTCTCTCCTTCTGCAGACTGCAAATGGCACAGACTCACAGAGAGGGCCTGGCCACCCTCGGCCTTTCTGAGACAAAATTTTTCTAAGTTTTACAGACCAGCCTTTAACTTGTAATCCTTCTGCTTTAGATTCAAGTACAAAAAGGTTTCAACTTCCTATTTTTCCCATTTTTTCAAACAATAAAGAAATCTAAAGATGAAACACCAGCCCCAGGGCCTTCTTCAGAAGTTGGTACCTTAAGAGAAAAGGAAGTGAGACCCAGCTCCACCTTATGCAGAGACTGATTCCACCCAGCCCAAGGCACCCACTAAAAGCCTGCTTCCCTGGCAAAATTATGGGAATAGAGAAATAACCCATCAAAATTTTACTTGAGTTAAAATTGGGAGCCCCATAGACAGATGTCATTACTTGTAGTTTTGTGACCAACATACTGAATGTACACTCTGAGTAAATGGATTGTCTTATGTGCTTATCTTTGTTTCTATCACCAAAGGGTTAAGTTTTCTATGGGTAAAACACTGAGGTCTTCTTATGAAAGGATGATCAGACCCTGTGAAGTCCAGAGATGTCACTCTAAAAGTTAAAGTTTGGACATAAATAGCCTGAAAGGTGCATCTGTGAACGGGTGTTATTCTTGAATGACATTCCACTGAAGGATAAGAAAACTGTGCAAATGTTTCTACGTGTCATTTATTACCTGGTAATTGGACAGATATAACTGACTCACTAGAAGGATGTTCTGTACTAAAAGAAACGTAAATGTGCCTCAGAGATAATAATAAAACCTACTGGGTCTCATACAATAATGCCATCATAATTATTATGATAAATTCATGCTAAATTTTTATGCTGCCCCGATCTCGTTTTCTCTGTAAAACTTTACAATTGTTTGTAACATT